ATCTGGCAGCATTTTTTCACCCACAGTGTGAACTCTGCTTCAATGACATTAGCCGAAAGAATGTCGCCAAGGTAAAACTGCACTGCATCATCAATATCAGAAAGGCTAGCCGATGCGCAGAATTTCAGCAGCAGCATGTTAAGGCCAACCACGACCTTCTTATGGGCATCGAACCGGCCTCTTAATTGATTTTCGAAGTCAGCCAGCAAAGGCAAATACACATTCCTCTGGTAGTACTCTTCGGGAGTAGCAGAAGATACGTTACTTCTTTGCATCTGCCTTCCAGTGATGCGTGGTAGGGCCATCTCAACATTCATGATCTTCAGCAAAGAGAGCGACTTCAGAAAAATCTTATGAAATTCCGTTTCCGCATTAGACATTTTTGTGGAAAGAACGTCTATAACATTCTTTATGTGATCGCACGCTTGAGCCAAGTCACAGTCAATTTTTTGAAGAAACTTGCAAAGTGGCAGTGTCAAAGAGAAGAGGTCGCTACAGATCTGAAGCGAAACGACAAACTCGGGCTTCGTAATGGCATTGAGCAGTTGAGAAGCTTTTGATAATGTATCAGACGACGCGGCCTCTTCTTCCAAATATTCGAGGAATTGTACAATAGGCACGTACAGTTCAAGGAAACGCTGAAGTGCATCGTGACTCTGTACCCACCTTGTCTGGCAAAAGGAGAGAACTGATTTTCCTTTTTCTTGAGTTAAATCTGCTACTTTGTCTCGCAGTTGGTTCGTCCTCTTTGGCGAAGCTCTCACAAACGTACAGGTTGAGGATACAGTTCCCAAACAGTTGCGGATGCTGGGAAGTTTGCATGCGTGAAGCAGAGCAACGTTCAACGAGTGGGCGCTACAATGCACGTACAACGCTTTGGGCGCTGTTAGACGAATGAAGGCTTGAACACCGTTAAGGTGGCCGCTCATTGATGCCGCGCCGTCGTATCCTTGCCCGAAAAGTAGCTTCAGGTCAAAGCCATGACCTTTAAGGCTGTTCAGGATTGTGCTCGCCAGCGCCTTGCCAGTGAGATCATACACTGGAACGAAATCTACAAAATCTTCTTTAAGAATGGGCACTCCTGACGTGTCGTGTCCAACGTGCCTTACACATAGGGAAATGTAGGCGGTGCGAGATATATCAGTGGCCTCGTCAGCTAGAACTGAAAAACACGAACCTGAGTTGACGTTTTCCACTATATTTCTTTGTATGATTTTACGACAGAGGGTGATCAACTCAGTTTGAATTTTTGGGCTCGTGTACAGCACATTCGCCGGAGATGTTTCCATGTGAGCTCTCAAGGCGGCATCTCCACATTTTGCTCTCATCCTAAGCAGTGCGCGGAAATTTCCATCATTTTTGAATGGCAGCACTTTGGACATATTTATCGGACCAGAGCCGTCTGTGCCGCGAAGCGGTACTTTTTGCCTGCCACAGAAAAGGATTGTTTCTATTTTTGGCAGCAAGTTCTTGCGGTTTTCTTCCGCCTGCTTTTTAAGGCCGTGGTCAAGTTGTGTTAAGATGTCATGCTGTGAGCGGGACCGGACTGCTAAAAAGTTCTCCGATAGCGTTGTTGACATGGCGTGATAACTGCTGGATGCGTGGCTCTTAAAGGCGTCCATGACTTTCTTGTAATGGTGAACTCCTTAGTTACAAAACAGCCCAAGCGCTGGTGCTCCCCTTTTCCTGCACACTCGCTTGCGAAGACTACGCAATATTTGCATAATGCTCCTTGAAGCTTCTCTGAATAAACAAGCCACGGGTAACGATCTACCCAGTGAAGTTGGAACTCCAGATTCCTTTTCCCTGTGGCTGAATAATCATAGTTAGCCGGAGGGGTCCATGGATTGAGCAGCAGCTTCTTCATCGTCTCTGGATCATTTACATTATTGCTTTTCGAGACAAACAGTCCCAAGTCGAAAATATTCGCACTCGTTGCACAGAGGGGAGGCGAACCAGAATATGTAGGTGCCATGCCACCTTCCTTCCTTGGGCGCTGCCCAATGGTAAAGGCGTCACTTTGCCCAGCGTTGACTGTAGAACAAAGATCACTTGGAGTTGCACTGCGGCCACCATCATTTCCCGGCGGTGCATGGGTGTCCTGCTTGTGTTCGTTCTCAGGTGATTCATATAAACCGGTGCATTCTCCTGAGTCGCTACAGAAGTTCGGACGCGCTTGGCTTTCCACCAGTGCTGAGGAGGGCGAAGTTTTATCCTTCGAAGGAGGCGGTTCTTCTCCGTCCACTTCATCAGTTCGAACTTTCCTGAAGTAAGACGCAAGACTTGTTTGCTTCGTTGTGGCAGGGTGTCTTTTCATTTTGCTGCCGCAATCCTGTGCACGCACACAGAAGTGGCCAGTGGCTCCAAAAAGACGCTTGCGACTGCTTCGACTGCCTGGCGTGAACGGCGGGCGATGTTTTCTTCCTCTCTTATCCAGTTTACAGTGGCTAGAATGTAGAAGTGTGATGAACGCGCCGGCTCCCGCGTGGCGCATGTGTTTTCTGAACCCCGCTACAGCTGGTGTGCATGCAGGCCCATTATTGTACTCCAGCTGCAGCAAACTGGATTAACTCTACTTAAAGACCTTTTCACGGAAGACTCCATGGGCACTGCATACTCCCCTTAATATACGTGAACCCCCAAGAATGCACTGCCGAGACATTTGCACTCCCGTGGTACAGTCCAGAAAGGAGGTGTCACTCCGTTCCTGTGAAAAAGTCACCTTTTTACAGACGGCTCCCTGGGCGCCTGCATAATTCTCTCTGGGCTGCGCTAATTAAATAGCCGTGAGCCCCCAAAAATGCACTTTGTAGGCTGTGACGTCAGCCTCTGTACTCCCGCGCGCAGCCCAGCTTGGCGGCGTTTTTTTTCTCTTGTGAAAGTTGACCACTGGTGCCGGATTTTGTGCCGGCTGTATCCTCGCTTTGTGCACTTTGTAGGGAGGCGCATATACCTTCTGTGTGCAGAAGAGGTAGATTTCCTTGCGTGTGGTTAAGGTTGTTCGAAGTTGCTCGGATATGCCAGTCTTTCAGTAGATGTCATCTTCGATGATTCGTTTCGGTGGCGAGGACTACAGTTTGAGAAAAGTTTTCCCTGCAGCCTGCGTCCTCGGAATGCGCCACTGAGTTTTTCCGCTTAGGGGTTTCCTTCCCTGGCAAATTTGCGCACGCCGTGTTGGTGTTGCCGTTGCTGTCGAACTTTTTACCTTCACAGAAGTAGACGCGCTTTTCGTAGGAACCCAAAGCCGACACGTGCGGTCCACACAGATGGATAACTTCTCCAGCGGCAATGCACAAGGAAAGCATCCGGAATCAATAAAGGAGCTGCTACGGTGTGAAAGACGAAAAAAAAAAAGACTCGAAGGAACGCGAGGGCGAAGTGCAAAGCTGTACAAATAGGGCAGGTGCGCGTGCGGGGGAGGGAGCGCTGAGGTGTTCTGGTAAAAGGGTAAGTTTGAAGAAAGGAAGAAAAGGGAAGCAATGCCAGGAAAGTTGCAGTGTAACTTTGGCAGCTGGTGGTCGCTGTGAAGGCGTGTAAATATTTTAGTATCACCCGAAAAGTTAAAGCATCAAAAAAATTTCGGACAGGGTCAGCACCCCCTCAGCCACCCCCCCCCTAGTTACGGGCCTGGGTGTGATGTAAGAACATGACAACATACCACGCACAAGATGCGCTCACGGCCGTTTCGCTAGCTTCCCATGTACTAAATTTTGTATCAAATGATGTGAATAAACGACGAAGGTAAATAACACGTCCAAACATGATAATCATGATATGCGTATAATGTAAAGCTGTAAGACAGGGCTACATGCTACACTCATAGCACAACCACGGCCGTTTCGCTAGCTTCACGTATACCAACTTTGGATTTGGTATCAGAGGACTTGAATGAACGGCGAACAAAAATTTCAGGCGCAAAAATGATAGCCATGACCTGGAAGCTACGTACGGCTTAACTATCAACCTTTCTCATTTGTGATTGGCATGTCATCAATTCCCAAGTACAGTCAACCACAAAAGTTTACGGATAACCCGAGCGCGAGGCCAGGAGCCTCTTCACGACATTTCTGCTACGTCAGCGGCTATCAGCAAGAGCGCAGCGCCCGAGACGAGTCCCTCTTTTAATCGATGGCCCGTCTGTTTCCTGACCGGACGCAAATATTTATCACCTTTCACATTTTAACGCGACGTACAGCCACGGCGACGTCTGTGTAGAGCACGCGAGTAACCGGTTTTCGGTGATTTTAAGGTGACCGTGGATGTACTCTTTGGCCACCGCAGCTAATTGTTTTTGTCTCGAGAGCAGTCATCCAGAATAACTGTTACCAGTAGCGATGTTTCTGGCAGTGATATTTAACCCCACCCCGTTCGAGGCACGTCATGACATTTTTGATTCTGCTCTAGAAGCAGGAGTGTGACTGGCATACTGCAAATCAACGGTTTGCGGTGAGAACTGAGAACTAACAATGAGCAGCGTGATAGCAGAAAATTGGAAGGCCAGTGAATATATAACACGACGTATTTCCGGCCCTACACTGTGGTCGGCGGTAGATGGCGTGCCGCTAGGTGGCGCGGACATTCAGCTTGGCACGCGCTCGCGTGGTTTGTGAACTTTTGTCGACGACTCTACGTGGAATCTGCCATTTTTTTTTCATGCTCTCTTCTTCCTGTAGGCTCAACCGCTAATTTCCAGGGAAATATTTTGAGATCCGATGAGTTAAGCTTCTCCGCTCTGCTTGCGCCGCTTAGCAGCGACTTTCACTCTCCCAAGATGCGGTGTATGGTCAGAATGCGTCTGCCGCGGCCATGACGCTACTCCTCTAGTTTGCGCAGACGGGCGAGTCGAACGCAGTCACTCAATCCTCGTTCATGAGCAGCGTGGCTCTTGTACGTGCCCGCGAAGCCGCTTTGTCTCGGCCCATGTAGATAACGCGACAATAATAATATATATATATATCAGAAACATAAAAATAACAAAGGAGGCAACAAAGATTATGTACCAACATTGGAGCCACCAGCTCGCGCGGCTGATGCTGATCCCCTGTCGGCAAATCTGGTGGCTGCGAAGTAAAGAAAAAACGATGCAGGGATTGAGACGTTAGTAAAGAAAAAAAAACACAGTTAGAGCGGGACGCGAGCATGCTGCACAAAATTCGAGCATGTTAGGTGGGCGTGCCGACGCCGCCACCGAACTCACGAATAAGTGCGACAATAACACGCTGAGGATCTAAAAAACACTGTGTCACCTGCATGTTTCCCTTTGAAATATAGAAGAAAAAAAACGCAGGGATGTAAAGATGAAAAATTGCAATGAATAATTCGTAAACATAGTGATAATGCTGGAGCCAGCGTTTTGACAAGCGAACCTGCCTTCTTCGAGGCTGAAACTTCCTGAAAAGTTGCAGCCTAGATCAAGGCAGATCCGTTATAGTCAAACGTCAGTTGCTGCACCCACACACACCCTGTTGACGAATTAGTGTCGTCACTTGCACGAAGATCTGTCGTCCCTTGTAAGGACAGCCAGACATTGCGGTTAGTTACTGTGTCAGGCAAAGAGAACGATGAAGGCGGCGTCCGGTTAGTTGATATGATATGCTCACTGTCAATATTCCCTATAGCCGTCAGTTGTAACGTGACCAAAACCACAGCCCCTTTATCACCTTCCGCTTGCCGTGCTGAAAGCTGATAACTGGGATCAAGATTATATACGTATGCTTGATCTATATAAACCAGTTTCAGGCCTGCTCACTGTTCCAGCCATGGGCTCTTACGTCACTTCCCTGTGACCGTTGTGTTTCACTGCACAAATGTTCGTAAAATTGCTGAAGCTAGTCGCAAAAAACGCATTCCCAAGCCCGGAGAACGCTTTCGTGGCGTGCTTGTTGACGACTGGTGAGGGCCGCGTTCTTGCGTGTCTGTGAACAGCGTCGTGGATATTCGATGCGCATTATTCACTGGACATTCGCACTAGCGTATGGCTGCACATCCGCATGATTTCGCGATACCGCATGCCGAGTTGTCAGCGGCAATTACGGCAACGGACCGAAGGTGCGAGTGTTCTCGTTTCTTAAGGACGACTGACGAACGAAATAGGAACGTGCCGTTCATCGACGTGACCTCCACATCCGTTGTTTTCATTAGCTGAAAGTGTGTGTGCGTCCGAACTACATACTTTTAATTCATTCCAATAGCACCAACATGTTCCCATCTTGCTCTAAAATCAAGGATGTCGTGTGCGCTTCTTATTAGTCTAAGCAAGCCCTCTCATCAAGCTATCTTGAAGCTCATTCTCAGAACATAGTGTTCCTTAGGGGTGAGGCTCCTCTTAGCTTAACCTTGTTCCTGCGTCAGGCGTAACCGTTAGAAAAAGAGACGAGAAAAAAGGAAGGCAGTATCTTCCGGAGAGCATAATAGACAGCGCTGTCTCATAGAAGTACCTACAAACTGTAATTGAGTTAGGAGATTCTAGATGGCACTGTACCACTACTCTCCCATTGGCTGCGGCGCGGGTTGTGGATGGGTGCGCGAGGAAGGAGTGCCCCTCTGCCTCTTGGATCGTCGCCGCACGTGGCGGGTCGTTGGTTGCGCATGGACCAAGGATAGCGGCTGGCGAGGAGCGCCGCAGCGGCTCGTGCTCATCGCCTTCTTGGTGGGGCATGGAAGAAGCGGAGTGAAGGGCCTGAGCGGCTTGTGCTCGTCACCAGACCGACAGAAAGGCAGCTGGACGGGCGGACACACGGGCACATGGATGGACGCATGGATGGATGCTGCGCGCCACTTATCATTGAATCTGTGGATATGCTGGATTTTTTTTTTCTTCAGGGTTGGTAAACATTTCGCTATTTGCGAATAGCATTTCGAGCTTCTGATTGATTGATTTGTGGGGTTTAACGTCCCAAAACCACCATATGATTATGAGAGACGCCGTAGTGGAGGGCTCCGGAAATTTTGACCACCTGGGGTTCTTTAACGTGCACCCAAATCTGAGCACACGGGCCTCGACATTTCCGCCTCCATCGGAAATGCAGCCGCCGCAGCCGGGATTTAACCCGCGACCTGCGGGTCAGCAGCCGAGTACCTTAGCCACTAGACCACCGCGGCGGGGATTTCGAGCTTCTTGTAATACCTCCATTTACTTGGTTGAGAAAGAAAGGAAAGATCTGCTCATGCGTTCCTTAGTGCATTGGTTTTGTGCATTGTACTTTGATTCTGATGTTTCAATCATTTTTGAAGGCGTTATAATTTTGCGCCAGTCTTGTGAGTACCTTAGCCTAATATGTTTCCTTGAAATACATATTGATGTACTTCAGCCGAATTTAGATACCTGAGGACACCTGCGGTAAAGCGCGTTCTTAAACGGTCGAGGTATACTTCAAGTCAGAATATTTAAGAACCATACCGATTCAAGAACTAAAGGTTCAGTAGCAGCTACCATCAGGGCGACAGGGCTTCTCTGGACGCAATGCCAACCATTTTTTCTAATGCTCCAAGTTATATGAGTGACTATTCATCAGTGCGAGGGGACCAGAATTTCGTGAAACGAAATATGTCGATGTCTGTTGCAATGGTGATCAGACATTGTGCTAAATAACCCCGCTCTGGCAGTTGCAACACTCTGCTCAATAACGACATCTCTATGAAAACAGATGTTCTAAAGAGTACAATAGCGCCAACTCAACTAAGAAAATAGCAGAAACTTAGGAAATGAGTAGGAACAGTTTCTGCCCATCTTCTACATGGCTTGTGTGTGTGAGCACGTGAGCGCGCATGCGTGGATGCACTTGTGTATGCAAATAATGAACGAAATCTACTTTGTTTATTTCTTCAGTTCGTTGGGCTTCAATTATTGCTTTTCGAAGTCGATCACACGTTCGATAACGCGCAATATGTTCTGACGTTTTTTGTGGTATAATAAATGGCTTACAGACAAATCACGAAATACTCAAAAGTGTGGTACATTACTTAAACCAGTGCTTTCCAGATGCAAAAGGCAGAATAAAGCTGTTAGGCTTGTAAAACTCACCGCGACTGATTTTTTTAAACCGGAAACAATAATGACAATGTATTCAGAGTTTGTAGTAAGGGTCAAAATGAGTGGTGGCATGGCTGCAGTGAGCAGGCCTAAAAATATTCCTCTAGATGTCATTGTCTAAACATGGTTTAGAGAGTCATATTTTGGGGGTGCTTGTGAAAAAAAAATGTCTTACGTTAAAAAAAATCACAGCATATCCACGGAGTGAATGATCATGAGTGGGGCGAAGTGGTCGTCAGTCTGTCCACGCTTCCGTCCGTCCGTGGGTCTGTTCATCCACACGCCGTGCGTTCGGCTGTCCGTCCATCCGTGCGTTCATTCGTGTGACCGTCCATGCGTCCGTCCATCCGTGCGTCCATCCATCCGGGCATCCGTGCGTGCATCCACGCGGCCATGTGTGCGTCCGTCTGTGCAATCGTCCACGCGTCCGTCCCTGCGTTTGTCGACGTGTCCATGCGTCCGTCCGTGCGTCAAACAGACAGGCAGACAGACGGACGGACGGACGGATGAATGGACAGACAGACAGACAGACAGACAGACAGACAGACAGACAGACAGACAGACAGACAGACAGACAGACAGACAGACAGACAGACAGACAGACAGACAGACGGATGGACGCGACCAGCAGATGATTCACGGTTTGCCAATAAAACCCTCGGAAGCTTTGCCTCACACATCATTATTCACTCCGTAGAAATGCTGCGGGGTGGTTACTACATACATGGATAGATACAGGTGACGACCGTCCCGCACTTTAAAAAGCTTAGCCCCCAAAAGCATTCGTAACACAAAATTTCCTCCAACCATGATGTGGGACAAATCGTTAGCGAAGCCGACTGACAAATGGGAAAATGCACTTACGGAAGCGAAACTTCGTTGTTACCACCCTTAATATATTTACGGAAAGCAGCTGAAAGCTCGGAATGAGTAAACAAAGAAATTTCAAGGCAGTCTCAACCACGCGTTATCTCACTGAACCATTGACGGAGGTTCAAAATCTGATGGCCAGGCATATTCATTTCGTTTATTCGTATGACATCAGTCACGTCACGAAAATAGCAATTCCGCCTTTCACCTCTTGCCCATCATATCCACCTCGACAATCCGTCACTCTACCACAAGCTGTATTTAAAAGCGAAGGTCCTTAGGCCCACACCCGGCTGTCGAAGCTTTCTGTTGAATCTCCGCTCGCACCACACATACCAACCCTCATTCACATCTACGTGCACCCTTTGCAAGACACAGGCCGCAACCTTGGACCACATCATCTGGGGATGAAGCAAGAACCCTCCCCCACCAAACCTCCTAGGACAGTCACCTTCAAGTGAGGCCTGGGAGAGAATCCTCACGACTACAAAACCTGGACACCCAAGCTCCGGGTCATCGAATGCGCTGACGAGGTGGCGACCAGGCATGGCCTGAAAGCCCTCGCCACTTAGGAAACCGCCAGCTGCCTTAACAGAGTGGTTTACTACTACTACTCTACTCGCACCACTCTGCTACCTGTCTCTCTCAACCTCTTTTTGCGTCAAGCCCTCTCCTCTCCAACTGGCTGACGCGTTGCTCGTACAATGAATGAGTGAGTGAGTGCACTGCATGTTCCCTTGCTCAGTCGTTCCTGATACCAGGAGTAGCAAACGCTCTCCCCACCCACTCCCCACCCTACCACCTTCATAAAAGAAAGCAACGAAATCAGTCGTTTTCTACCCATTTTTAAGGGGCTTCACTCATCGGTTGTATTCGTACGCGGAAAAACTGCAGGTTTTCAGCTATCTTCATCAACCACCCCACATTTAACCCGAAGCGCGCCCATGTAGCCACATAGGTCACTCGCAACAAGTTTCGCGTCCACGTACAGTAACTTTTTCTCTTTTATTTTTCGTCGAACTGCCTCAGAATGGAACAGCCTTGCCAAGGAAATTGTTACCACCAGCTTCTGTCTCTGTTTCTATAATTGTTCACGCAATATGTTGAAGCCAGGAATGCATATTAAAGGTTGACAACACCTTATATATAACAGCATTTTAATAGAACCAAATTACAATATTTTGTAAAGAATTCATTGTATTTTTCTTCATGAAGCTATCTATAGGACATATGTAATACCCCCTTGGGGCTCCTTAAGGTATGAAACTGGCCTGGCCTGACGCGCCTTTGGGGCTGCGCTTCATTGATTCTTTGTGAAGTATTCGCACCTGGGAACTTCACACTGTGTATTAGCGTTTACATTTGGGCAGGGCGAAAGAAAAAAGAGAAAAGAGTGCTACGGTTGCTTATAATGCTTCAATAACTTACAAGATGCTCTTCCACGTACTTTTTGAGGCATAGTATGACTTCACTGCGGCCTTCCTTCGTCTGCAACGACAGTAAAAGCGCGATGAGGTAGTTATCGCTGAACACCACGCATCCAGCCGAGTTTCAGAAGGCACCATGGCTTCGAGACGCTGCATACGGCCATAAAAAAGATACTTCGACACACAGACACCTGGCCCTGTTTGCTCGAAAGTATGCGAACTACACCTACGATAAGACTGACGTTGAAGTAAGCGCATTACAGTGGTGTGGCGTTTCTTTAGACCTTTAACGCAATACTCAAATATTGTTGAAAAACAAGCTTTTATTCCTCTTATAGCTATTCATAAGTTCTGGCCGTCGCGAATGAACATAGCATTCTGTAAACCACTGGGCACGCTAAAAGCGATTTCAAATCACCGGAACACCCTCTGGCCTCACGATAAATTCGTATAAATGTGGTCGCGAGTGTATTTTCTTTGTCCAAATTGCCTTTTTGTTTTCGTCAGGTTCAAGGATTCACTGAAAGATGTTCTGCGAGGTAAAAGTTTTAAGGGTTATCAAAAGACCTGGGGCCAATACAAAAGAAATGCCAGCTGATAGGTGAAAGCGGCCAACTGGAAGAAGATTGAATATAGACGAGTTTAGAATAACAGATATGTATGTTTCATCCCTGCCATAAATCAAAGCTTCTTGGGTGAATGTTCCAGCATTACTTATGTGAAAGAGAATTACACCCACCAGTACTGAAAGATGGCTTGAAGAACTATGGCTATAAATACCACGTGGTCGATGTGTAGTTGTGTAGCCCGAGCACTGCCCGTTTCGTGCTTATGTGACGCGTAGTCGACTATGATTGCATGGTGGGTTTGTTGGTTTTCCATAGTGTCTGAGTTATAGCGCATCCAGGACAGAACAGAGAAGAAGACACGTACAAAGCTAGTTGCCAAAATCACACCTGGGTGTCGCTGTCTTTGATCCATCCAATTAAAGCCGTTTTTTAATAACGTAGAGGTGGCGGCGGTGCTGGTTTCGACGCCGGGATGGCGTATTTCTTTATGCCAGCTGATTCATAACTAAGCGCAGCCAACCTCGCAAAACCTGATAAAGCAAAACACACAAAACATATACTTTGTCAGCTCAGCTTGCCTTTGTCGCGTTAGGGCAAGTTGAACTTAAATGAGCCTAGTAAGGTGAGTGTAAGTGTAGCCGAATCTAATCCAGCCTAGTGTAGCACAGAATCAACTGATAAATTCGGGCGTAAGTAAGCTTAAGGTCAGTCCAGATTGTTTTTATGTTAAGTGTAGTAAAGCTTCGATGCGGCCAGACGGCTAGAGAAAAGTACACGTACAGCCAAAGCCAAATATGCATAGTTGATTGTGCCATCCTTTCATTTAGGTGGGAGAAATTAGCCCAAATAAGATAAACTTTATTGTGGCCAATTAATCCAAGTAGACTTCCCCATGAGTTAAAAGACGCCAAACCATAAAAATGCTAATTATTCTCTACTCACACTATACCAATCAAGCTAGTTTATGCCTAATTAGTATAGGTAAGATTCGCATCAGTTATAGTTGATTAATTTGTCTGATAACCAATCACACACGAAACACACTAGAGTTTCATGTGGCATAATTAGGCTAATCATACGTGCTTAGGTAAGGGGCATCGCCAAGGTAAGTATAGAAAAGTCTTAGTAACTGTGGTTGATCATGACTTCATAAAGCTAGTGTGATTATAATCAGGTGTAGATAAACAAGTTCTAATAAAACAAATATAGTAATTGAAGCTGAATTTTTATGAGGTCAGAGAATCTAAGCTGAGGAAAATATTAATGACTAATCACCGAGTCTAGTCTCATTATACTGAGGTAAGCTTAATTAACCTTAAAGCTAACTTCAATTATGTTTACATACTTATTGTGCTTGTTTCATCATAACTAAGCTCATTTAAGTTCAACTTGGCCTAACGCAACAAAGGCAAGCTGATCTGAGAAAACCTAACTTTGTGTGCTCGGCTTCATCAGGTTTTGGGAGGCTGGCTACGCTTAGCTATGCTAATAAACCGTTATGAATCCCGACGCGAGCCCGACGCTAGAACCGGCACCATTGGAGCCGCTACGTAAAAAAAAAAAAGAAATCTAAAACAACGGCACAAATTTGAGGGAGCAAAGACAGCGACACCCAGTTGTCGTTCTGGCTACAAGTGCGTCGGAGAGAGTGACATGAGATGCTAACTGATACGACGGCTCGCGCATGCGCACCGCAGCAGGCATCTCGTCCCCAGATAACGCATCGACGCCTTTGGCCACGTGATCCCGTGGTCTGCACAATTATGCTAACGCCTGTACATCTAAAGAAGTAAGATGTGCAATCTGAAACGTTGACATAAGCAGAATTGGAATAAAGTTGCACTCACAGCTTTTTTCCCCATATTTTTACCAGCGCAGTTCAGGTATTCTTCGCACGTCAGTTGCAGTATCTGTAGTCACGCAAAAAAAACAAACAAAAGATAAAACAAAAGTTATGCCGCCGATTTTTCTTGATCCTTACACTTTGCAATGTAACACAAACAAGTTCCATTGACTATTCTCGAATGGGAATACTTGATATGCACTAGATAATGTTTGCTGTGCGATTGAAGCAAGCAAGAACAAAGAAACAAGCAAGAACGAAAGAACACCAGCGTTCTTTCGTCACGTCACGCCGGTGATGCCACGCCAGGTGCCGATCTGCCTGGCATATACTTGCAGGAGCACGCCACCCTGCGTTGCTTTGACGCTTGCGCGTTTGAGCACGCCCGGCGTCTTTCCGTCACGTAGCTAAGCAGACGTGGTGCTGTCTAGGTAACGTCGTCGGCGCGAAATGCGGAATGTCGCATTTCGCGCCGGTTGCCGCCGGGCCTCGCCGACAGACGCTGGTCGCGCATAGCCTTAGACAAAGTGCTCGCGTTTTAGTGTAACGTCGCTGCGCCCAGCGTGCACGCGCGTCCACGTTACGTGCACTTGCCGCCGTTTCGCTAGCTCCACATATACCAAGCTTGGTATTACGGTACGTGAATGGACGACGAAGGTATGTGACATGTACTAACGAGATAATCATGATATTTGTGTCATGTAAAACATGAGTACATGGCACGCTCATAGCGTGCTCGCGGCTGTTTTCGCTAGCAGCACATATACCAAATTTGGTATCAGGTGACGTGAACAGAGCACGAAGGTAAATGACACGTCCGAGCATGATGGTCATGACATGAAAGTCATTGTTGTGCTCATAATGTTGTGCTGACTTTCAAGTGACAAATCAACCTTCCTCATTCGTACTTCGCATATCAGCGATTCCCTCTGTACGTGGAGTCTGCCAATATTTTTTTCGATGAATCACACAAAAACGAACAAACAGCATTTTGTTACGTCTCTTGATGCACAAAAGGCGGTTTATTTAGTACTGCTAGTTCGATTAGTAATTATATTTGTTGGAGGTACCACTCACGTCATCGGGATCATTTGGGAAGGTCTATACGCGTAGCATGTGTGTTCTTGGGCATTTAGTTTAATTTCTCGGTATGTAGGGCACTGCTGTTGACAATTTTGTCGTTTTAGACGTTGTCATACATTAAGCTGTCACCGTGACGTAAATTTTTATTTGGCTTTAATGTCCCTTGAAGGTGACTCCAATACTCAGCAACGACACAGACAAACGGCAAAGTGGTTCAGAAACTGCCGCTAATAGAAAAATTTAGGTCACCAATTGTTTTCAACGTAGGTGCCGATTGCAGAGTTGGCGTCATTTTGATCACAGGCAATGCGTTGCAAGTCATATTGAATGCGACACTACTATTCATGTACATGAGATGTATAGTTGTACGACAGAGAGCAATAAAGCGAGATGAAAAAGTTCATTTTTGCGGTTATATAAAAAAAGGACCTCCTGAAGTTTACTGTCTAAGCTGCGCAAAGCAGCTTTGAACAGCTTCTGACCACACAAAAGTAGTAAGCTTCTATGCAGTTTTGCGTTTTTCGATAACAACAATGGTCCTTTTGTCAACTTGTTTAATTTTGTTTGATTTTTATTGTTTTATTAGCCATTGAGTGCGATAGCTCAAAGTAAGTTCGTTCAATTTAGTTGTCTCTGTCGTACAGTAGTGTTGTCTTCAGTAACGCACAAAAAATAAAGCATGATTGGCTACTTAATTCATATGCACAAAGGAAAAAAAAACATGAGGGCGATGCTATCTTACGAAAGGAGAACAATGTGACAGCTCAGACCACACAAACTAACATAAATATTTCTTCTACCTGTACTAGTTTCCACTAGTATCCACTAAACAACTACGCCAAAATCAGACGTCTCGAGCTCGGGAACCGTTCTGGTTAAACTGTAACCAAACGCTTGACTTGGGTAACATGGTGGTGGCACTGGCACGCCCGCGTTCCTGCACTGTTTGTATTCTGTGGGAAAGCGTTGTGTTGCCCGCGCTGCCGAAGCTCGAAGAAGAACGTGGTTGGAACAAGGACGTGTTGGAAGAAGGACGTGGTTGAGGTACACTCCGCGAGGTACCGCAACGATACCATTTTCTCACCACCTTTCGATAAAATTCGTCAAACGGTTTTCAATAATCATTCTGAGACCTAATTGGCTCTTATGTTAAGCATTGTACCGACATCAGTTGCGTCCAATGTAACTTGACTTTATTTAGAACCACTGATTTCAATTTTTTTTCTAGGAGATCTTTTGTGATCATTCGGAAAGCTGAAGCAACTACTCGATCGGAAGTTCTTGAAAGAGGAGTGTTACTCGGGGTTTGTACCTCTAATAATATCAATTCCTTGAAATCTTCAAACAAAGCACCATTTATCACTGCGATTTGTAGTCTCGGCCCCGCATGTGAAGTTTTTCAAGGTTTTGGGGCTGTCTTGGGTGTTTCCCAAGGAGCTCTCAAGTATAGACGGAAGCTGGGTGAAGCCGGTGCCCCGACCCCGCACAGCCAGAAGTACAGAGATGTAAGACTTACGTGGAGAGGTGTAAGCCAGCGTATAGAAGTGAAAGACTTACCGCGCTCGCAACTTCTCCGCGAACTTTGTACGGCAGGATGACATCATCGACGCATTTGAAGATCGCCTTTGCCACGGGCTTGACCACCTGTAGCATGGTGGCCTCGTCTGCAGCGAGAAAGGAAAAAACGGCGTCCGGCTGCCTCAACTGTTGATTGCAGGCTTCGCCAGCACAACCATTGAGTGTGCCAGCGTACGACAGCGGTGACAGAGCAATAGTGTTGGCAGTAATTGATGGACTGGCACTAGCCATTCTACCGGGTATGAGTCGGAGACGACAGCTATGGGGTGCAGAGGGGCGCTTGATGATTCCCAGCCACGTAGTCGCAGACAATCGGTGTATTTTGCTCTAGATGTTTAGAGAAATTTATCCTCACTAACAGTGAACATTAATTATAATCCAACACAACATCACGACGGAGTACAGCATTCACAAACATACCGAATAAATTGTTACAAGAAAATATGGTGTGTACAATACATGGTAAACGAAAACACACAAACGAATTGTAAAGATCTATATGTTAGGTATTTACAATGTATTTACAAAATATTTGTGCAAGTACTAAAAAAACATCAACCTACCAAAACTGGGCCTTGGTAGGTTGATGTTTTGCACGAAACAGATAGTAGTTCTTTGTACAGTCATTCCAAAATCGGAAAGACAGCGTGACGGTGACGACCTGCTGCAACCGCCTCTTAGGGATTGTGCCAAAGACAGTAGGCACCAGCAACAATGAGAAGGCAGGCAAAGCGGCCTCGATAACAACGCCCAGAATAAACAAAGCAATTTACTCTAAGGCCGCCAAATCCAGCATGCACGGCCCTCCAAAAAAAAAAAAAAGGAGAGACGACGCACTGTTTTGAAACATGCTGATTTGTTTCCCGTGGGTAGCAGTTCAGGCATGTTGCTGATCAGACCATTCTACCTTTCGAGGCGGTCAAGGGTAGGAAGAACAACCCACCCCAGCCGCCACATGAATTCCCGGAGGTGGCCAGGCAGAAATGATGCCGTCGGCGTGCTCCAAGACACATGACTAGAGCGGGTGCGGCGTGCCAAAGGAACTAACGAGAGCAACAAAGCGGCTGTTGTGTCAACGATTGGATTGTCCAACTCATCTACCCCAGGACAAGTCGACTGGATATGGCAAAAAAATGCGACAGCTGTTGCATAAAACAAAGGAAGTACTACTGATTGTGGGCCCTGATTAAGGTGCAAATTAGGCATTAAATACCGAAAGCAAGTGCCTAGAAAATAATATGCAAAAGTTCGCGTGGGGGATTGCTGTTCTTGTGTGAGGTGCAACAGAAAGCGCAGTGCTATTAGCCGGCAGCGTATCGATACCGAAGGGAAAGCAAAGCCTCCCTGGGAACGCTGCTGTCCTAACGCCGCACGAGAAGCCAACTCACTGCCACCAGACCAAAAGAAGCAACACAAGACAGTCTGCAGTGATCTCACGATACGTAAAGGCGGCTGCTTCACGTGATAAAGGTACCAATTGCGACCGCAGAACACAATCTGTGCAAGGTACCTCCGCTCAAAAAGCGGGAAGTCGACATCCCGGGCGTTCTCAATTTTTTGTTTTACTTCGTTTAAGTTGTTTGACCAAACAGAGTTACAAACGCCGTTTTGGTTGTACCGATTTCCTAAAATGCAAAGAGATGAGGCCGGCTGAAGAAGAGATGTGGAGCCAATCTGGAGTTTGGACAGCTGATAAACAAATACCGGTATTTAGAGAGGTTTAGCGCGGCACCTCAACTGTCATCATAATGAAAGAATAAACGCAGGCTATGTGAAAAAATATCTTCATCTGAAAGGTACTGGGTTATGTCGTCAGCAAAAGCTGTGACTTTCACGGCGCTGCTGCCTGGAAACGCAAGACCTCGGACATGCGAGTCTGCTTCTAGAGCACACATAGATGGCTCAAGGCTGAGGACAAATAAAACAGGAGACGATGGACGTTCCTTACGGACCCCACGTGTATGGCAGCACTCTCCCAACCATATAGAACTAGTGTGCTTTTTATATCAGAGTGGGTATTTGTAATTATTTCCGCAAAAGAACCAGGAAAACCCAAGGCTGTGAACACTTTAAAGTTATACGTGTGCTCTAGTCAGTCAAATGCTTTCTCTTAGTACAAAGACACAAGGAGATCACGAGAAGATTGCGACAAAGTATAGGTTATAATATCCCCGGAGGTAAAGGACAAGCTGTGTATTTCTCGTCCAGGCATCCATGCATCCTGGTGATGAGATTTATGAGCCACCAGGGTGTTCAACGGGGCTCTGAAACGTTCAACAATCAGAGTCACGAATATCTTATAGTCAACGTTAAGAAGCGTGATAGGTCTGTAATCTTCAAGACTAATAGAGGAAGCGTCAGCGTTTGGTATCAGTACAATGCGGCCATCTCGAATACATTGGAAAGACATGTGACTGGGCAAGTTAGTTCACACTCGGCGAGAAATAAACACCCTGCGTGTCTTTTTTCAACTTCCCATTTCTTAATTAGTGGTAATTTGTTCGGCGTCAAGCATTCCTGCCAATCTTATTGTACAGAAACTTGGAGGCATGTACTGCTGATCAAATGTCGGTGTTCCTCTTGTTTTCGCATTTTGTTCCTCTTTTCTGTTATGTCTAATACTTCCGTGTTCATGTACAGACGCGTACACTGTTAAGGGGAACATCTGCATGCACAGCGTGTTTAGATTTCTTTATCTTGCAGAAGCATAGTGGCTTTGATATGCATAAGACCCCTAGTGGCTGAAAGTTCTCACTTCTCTTGACAGATTAGCGACATGCATGCAGATTGTTTTCCTATCTCCTTGCTGCTACAGGGCCCGCCGTATTGATGGTGTTTGAGTGTTCGCTTTAACAGTGAACCATACTGCACATGTTTATTTTTTACTTTCTGTGAGGGCCAGTGCAAAGGCTCATGGTGTTGTTGAACAAGCCAACAAACAAATTACAGCTAGGCACTTCCTCATGCTTCCTCTTGCGTTCGGTTTACGTGCGCTGTGTATTTTTTATTTGTCCACCCGGCAGATAAATAAAACGTACTCGTCTAGTGTGAATATTAACTGATTTACTGCAACTTACTTCTCAAGCCCATGCAGAAAAAAATTGTGAGAAAAGGGGACTTGAAAGACGTAGCCTGATGTATTGTTCAAAGTAAGAACACATGTTCTACGTGTAACGTCTTGCGTGCTGTCATCTTCATGCCCTAAAGACTACAACATCCTATATCTGCAGCACTCTATTACCAGAACAAACTCGGTGTTAAAAGCACGTGTCAAGCGAGAGATAACATATGTCTTGTAGGTTGTTTGTATGAACATATGAGAGGATATCGAGGCCGATAAATGATATTTAAAACTAAACAGCAGTAAGAAACAAACAGACAAAAAGAATGAAAAATGCCAGCTATGCGTGGAGCATGCAGCACAATCACAGTGAAGCCTGGAAGAACAGCCTTTGTGCAACCCGTTGTAAACCCTCTTGCGGCGACAAATGCAAGTACACTTGCAAGGTACTCACTACACTATAATTATATATTATTTTTGTGGACTATGGAAATGCCCGCTACACCGTTATTGGTCATTCAGTGGAAAAGCGAGGTACCTGCTACATATCTGTACGGGGTTATGAAGACTTCCTTGATGCAGTGGTTCATGACGATGAACAGTTATGGCTGAAGAGTTTCAAAGTTTCAAAGTTTTATTTATTTTGCAGAAAAAAAAATACAAAAACTTCCCTGCGGGAGTTGGAAGTGTTTTGTTGATATAGCTTATGACAATGAATAATTGTGGCTGAGCCTTTCGCAATGGGCTGGAAGTATTAAGCGACACACTAATCGGCCAATTGATGTTGTGTGGCACTTGGTTGCTAGACGCCCAAGCTGACGTTCCTTCCACAATGGCTTCTTGCGGTAGGCTACGTTCCCGACTGGTTTAATAGATTCTGGCAAGAACGATTAGGTCGCTGTAAGTCTTTTTCTGCCCTTCTGGCGACAGAGGGCGTTAATACCTATCCGCCTGCGGTGAATACCTCCCTTGAGTGTCGCTGACAGGAGGAACATTGCGTCAGCGAATGCAATGGCTCATCGGCGACCATGTGTTATTGTCTGACGTCATGGAAGGTGGTGTCGTCTGTGTGACTGATTGCTGTCATAAAAGCAGAACCTCTCCTAGGGGGTAAAACGATGGTGCTATGTGCAGGAAGACGCTCAGGGCGTTGGGTTACCAGGCTCATCCACTATCACGGCTCGCCGAACTTCTATATTCTTTGATGTAAATAGTTGTAGAAAGCGTCAGCACACCAATTCGTTTTAGGGCGAAGCTCCTTATAGCGGCACCCGTTCGTCCCTCGTAGTCGTAGTCGTAGTCGTAGTCGTAGTGTGTAAGCAGTCTTACGTTTTGACCTGCAAGGTAGTGCCGGTGGGACATTTCTCCTGCGCGTTGTTGAACAATAAGAAATTCGTAGCATGCGCGTTAACTAAAAGCCGAATTATCCTGTCCCTCATTCCCCATTAGCAGCCATTTGCATGTACATTGAGCACTATCTGATAAAAAAAGGGTTGCTACGTTATACTCGCTGGGCGTAACCTCCTTGGTTTTGGAAAGGTTTAGCGAGCTTGAGCCGCAGTGCCATGAATACAGTGAAGAAGTACATGCCATGAACTCAAGGTGGTTAAAGGTGGGAAGTAGGTACGAAGCGCAAGCCGTAAGAAAGTAAAAGCTGAATTCTCTTGTCTCTTATTCCCCATTAGCAGCCATTGGCATCTACACTGAGCACTATCTGACAAGAAGGGGTTGCTACGTTATACTCGCCGGGCGTAACCTCCTTGGGTTTAGAAAGGTTTAGTGAGCATTGGGCCGCAGTGCGATGAATACAGTGAACTAAAATATACCGTGAAGTCCAGGTGGTTAAAGGTCGGCCGCTGTGGTAGCTCAGTGGTTAGAGCATCGAACGCGTTAATCGAAGGTGGTTAAAGGTGGGAAGTAGACACGAAGCGCAAGCCGTAAGAAATTGTGTATGTGCCACCTCTCGTTTAGTCCTTGGACTGTCCGCTGGATTGCGGTGCTTCTATATCGGGAATATATGATGAAAAGATGCAAGATGGTGGTACTTGGAGTGTTGAATAGAAGGTCGAACGGACACACAGACAGATGCATGGACGGACTCACGGATGGCTGCACCAACGGATGGACGCATGGACGGAGCAGGGGCGGATGCATGGACCAACGCAGGGAC